GTAAAAAAAATTGAATAAGATGTAAAAGTATGTTTAATTACTGTTGAAAATGATATGTTAAAAAACTAATAAAAAAATTATCCTCCTCCCCTGTGTCCTTCCCAAGCAATCTGAGGCTCCATTGCTCCTCCCTCTTCATACCTCTTCTGGTTCTGGGAGACCAGCGGGCAGGGGAGCTGGTTGCAGTAGGAGGTGGAGCCACCCTGGATCCTTCATCAGCCGGACTCATCTCTGCCTCTTGGACCCTGCCTCCTTTTCAGCCTCCGCTTCTGCCTCTGATTCTGGGCTGCTCTCTGCCACAGCCTCTTCCTGCTCACTCAGCCCTGTTGCCTCTTCAGCTTCTGACATCTCCTCCACCCAGGCTTCTCACTCTGACCATTCATTGTTGTCCCACTACCAATCCCCTGGCTCTGAGCCATTTTCCCTAGGGGGTTCCCCAGCTGTTGCCATTCCTCCGCATCTAGCCAGTCCAGGACACTCTAGAGCCGTGGTTCCCAATTAGGGGTCCGGGGACCCTGAAGGTCCACAGAATGCACCCAGGGGGTCCGCAGCCCCATCCCTTGCCTTTCACCCCCAACTAAATTTATGTTGTTTTTGCATGGTAATATCACAAATGTTATGGTCTGTTTTAGCGCTGTGTGGTTTTTCAATATATTGGCCAAAAATGGGTTTTTGAAATCACACCACAGTAATGATTTTGACCTGGCAATATGCAGGAATATATCGCTCCTCACACAAGGGAGAGCAGGGCAGCTGATTTCAAGGCACAGTCAATATCGCATGATGATCTCAGCCCGATAATGCTGCTGATCTAAGCTGCCTTCCCTCACACTGATGGAGAACAGGGCAGCTGATTGCCCTCACTTCAAGGCAACCATAGCACTAAGTTCCCCCAGCACTGAAGCAGAGCAGTGTTTAGCTGCTGCTGCTGATATATCACAATGTTGAAATGCGTACTTTGCTCAGCCCTGGTCTGTTTTTTAGTACAGTGGTACCTCGGGTTACATACATTTCAGGTTACATACGCTTCAGGTTACAGACTCCGCTAACCCAGAAATAGTACCTCAGCCTAAGAACTTTGCTTCAGGATGAGAACAGAAATCGTGCTCCAGCGGCGTGGCGGCAGCGGGAAGCCCCATTAGCTAAAGTGGTACCTCAGGTTAAGAACCGTTTCAGGTTAAGAACGGACCTCCGGAACGAATTAAGTACTTAACCCGAGATACCACTGTATACCTAAAATCCTTTGCTTATTAGGGGCTACTCCACATTTTGTTCAAAAAATTGCTTTGCAGAGGTAACTAGCATAGAGTTATCAAAATTTTCAAAAGTAGGGGGTCCATGGCTTAGCTTTTGAAAAATAAGGGGTCCTCAGTAATTAGCTAATTGGGAACCGCTGCTCTAGAGTTGGACTGGATCAATGTTGTTTTGCTACAAAATTAATAAAACATTCCACCCCCACCCAAAAAAATGTGTGAATATGGTTACAGTGGAACCTCGGTTTTCTAACGTCTCTGTTGACAAACGATTTGGAACTCGAACGCCGAAAACCCAGAAATAACTCTTTCCTTTTCCAAATGCACCTCGGAAGTCAAACTTCTGAGGCAGCTTCTGAACTGAGATTTTCATAGTAATTTTTCTGTTTTATGGCTTATGTAATGAGTTTTCGGTTTTCAAACATTTCAGAACTTGAAGGTGTTCCGGAATGGATTATGTTTGAAAACCAAGGTTACACGGTATTTTCATTATTATTATTTCTACTGATTCCTCACGAGCCTCGTAGTTGATTCATGCCTCTTAACCAGAGTTTCTCAAACCTGGGTCCCAAACTGTTGTTGGACTACAACTCCCATCATCCCTAACTAGCAGGGCCAGTGGTCAGGGATGATGGGAGTTGTAGTCCAACAGCAGTCGGGGACCCAAGTTTGAGAAACACTGCTCTTAACCAACATTTCAGCATACGTAGCTGATTTATTGATTTGTTGAAGGAACTGCAAAGACTGGTACATCCATGCTCATACTTATGTGAGCAAAATCTTTGTGATCAGAGAGTCTGCATTATCAGGGTCTTCGGTTGCACAGAGGGTTCTATTATTTGTATAACAACAACAACAACTGTTGTTTGTTGTTTTTGTTAAAATTTGTATGCCACCCTATACCCATAGATCTCAGGGCATTCAAGAACATAATTAATCTCTACTCATATTCTAGTTAACACAATTATAAATCCCTGCAGACCACCTCACTCCATGGCTAGGCTTCCATTGGCACTAATTGAAGACTGCTTTAAATACTAATTCTCATGTGAGGACCTTTATTGGTGGAGGAGGCAGGCTGAAGTACATGGAGAGTTGGACGGTTAACCCTTCCCTCTCAATCTGTGGTGGAGGAATCTGTCCATTTCGGTTTATTTTCTCTGTTATCCAGTTTTAAATACAGCCCACTACGGTTCTGTACCACTTAGTGATTCTTTCTAAATCCTCATGAAAATTCGCAAGTGTTTCAGTGTGCACTTCTGAAGTTGGGCAACCTTACCTAACAGGGACATGGGTGGCGCTGTGGTCTAAACCACAGAGCCTAGGGCTTGCCAAGCGGAAGGTCAGCAGTTCGAATCCCCGCGACGGGGTGAGCTCCTGTTGTTCGGTCCCTGCTCCTGCCCACCTAGCAGTTCAAAAGCACGTCAAAGTGCAAGTAGATAAATAGGTACTGCTCCGGCAGGAAGATTCCGTGCGCTTCTCTGGTTCACCAGAAGCGGCTTAGTTATGCTAGCCACATGACCTGGAAGCTGTCTGTGGACAAACGCCGGCTCCCTCGGTGAGATAAGTGTGCAACCCCAGAGTTGTCTGCAACTGGACTTAACCATCCAGGGGTCCTTTACTTTTACCTTTACTCCTTGGGTCAATTTATAAATTGAAAGCCTCTTGTGGTAGGGACCCACCCTCTCATTACGCCCAGGGCACTTTACAGAGAAACGATAATGCTCCAAAATAAAACAAGTAACATTTAGAGGCTGGGGTTGCAACTGGCACATGTGGTTAGATTTTCTGGCTTGAGAAATGTACCTTTACCTTTACCTAACAGACACATTTCTGCAAGCCATTTCATTTAACATGAAGAATTGATGTAATTTTAACTGTGCATTTTTATGGAATTTCCCTCCCTAATATATGATTTTTTTACTCGCTTGGACAACAGTGATGTGTGCATTTCTAAGGAGACGTATGTTTTGGTTTGGCTACTTTTTTGAGAAGTGCAAATTTATCTCCAACCCATTGCACATTCCTTTGCATGGCTCCTACTAGTATGTGCAGAAATTTCACACAACCAGCATTCAGCCTTCAGGATTCCGTATAAATAATCTGTAAAATTTAAGAATATTAAACTAGAGCCCCCATGAATCGAAAACTGAAATCCCATTCTCGAACGTTATAAGGAAGAAAAAAGCAGAGAGAACGGAAAACTGAACAAGAGGCCTATAAAAAAAACAAAATCTAGCTATTATATCTGCTGAGTTTGCTTTAGCGATTTTGCCTGTCTCAAATGTTTTCAGCCAATCAAAGTGTTCCATTAATCCAAACAGATTTATAATGAAAAGTCAACCTTAATTGAATTTCCTCATTAAGAACACCATCAAATAGATACAGAACACCTTCCACCACCTTGTTTAAATTAGATTCATTTTTCCGATTAATTATTAAAAGGAAAGTTTAAAAAATCATAAAATCTTAAGTGCTATTAAAAATTGATTGACTTCACTCTTTCATTGACCCATTTAGTGTGTGTGTGTGTGTGTGTGTGTGTGTGTGTGTGTATCACAGGTAATACATTTGGGTAGATGTTTCAGACCTGGCTTTGTAATCATTTTCTCATCTGTCAGCTAATCATGGCTTCATAAATATTGATTTCAGATCCAATTTTCTCTTTTCCTCCTGAAAGGCAGCATGTTTTTTTTATTATTATTCTCTCACTCTAAAAGAGCAAAGAAAACCAGAATGATATTTTTCTTCCCTTCCCGCCCCATAATCTTTCTTAAATTGAGACGATACTAAATTCCATATCCCACAGACCGTGGTTTTTTTTGTGTGTGTTTGGCCCGGTTTGCCTTCTTGGGATGGATATGGAGTTCCATTTACCCCCTCTTCAAAATCAGAATGGTCCTGCCCAATCCTAGGCGTCTTTATTCAGAAACAGGTGAGTGCGTTCAATGGGGTTTACTCCCAAGTATATATGAGATTGCCGTGTTGAGCCTGAGTCAATATTCGCTTGGAGCAGGGCTCAAAAAGCTGTGCATGGTCCATTTCTCATGGAGAATTGTGTGGCGTCACTTCCATGTGGAGCCAATGTTAAGTATAATTGGTTTAATTGACACTGACGTGGGAATGCCTTATATTGGTGAGAAGATTTAACATGGGGAGATTCACCAGGTCTTATTTCTATATTATTTCATAGCAAGGTATTAAAAGTTTCAAGAACAAAGTATGCCCCCAAAAAACCCCCACAAAAAACACCACACCCAACAAATCGGATACAAAGAGCCATGTCAAACAAGTGTTCTGAAAATGATTTTAAAAATAATAACCCCCAAAGCAGTAAGCTCTGCTAGTGAAACTTTATTGATTCAGAAGGCTGTATTTATGGCACAGGGTCCCTCCAGACTGGTGTTTTATTGCAGTTGTGTTCTGCAATGTATTCTTAACACAAATAATAGTGCATTAGTAGTGGATTCATTCTGCTTTAGTTTGTTCCGCAATGCTTCCCCAGTGCTGCCACGTTATTGCTGTCCGGAGGGGTTATAGTGCAACAGAATAAGCGGCACTTAAATAAACCAGAACATTTATGGTGTAAAAGGCTACTTACAGTAAGAACCTGTAGCCGGATGTGCACTGAAATGAAATTTAAAGCATTTAAAGCAATATCATACCACTTTAAACAGCCATGGCTTCCCCCCAAAAGAATCCTAGGAATTTCACTTTGCTGAGAGTTGTTAGTTAGGAGATTCCTGTATCGCTTCTCGGCTTTTTTGCTAAGACCAAGTGTACTATCTGTCCCTAACCTCCAACCTTTCTCCGACAAAAATAAGGAAGTCCTATTCCATAATCAAAATCATAATAATTTTGTTATTTATACCCCGTCCATCGGACTGGGTTTCCCCAGCCACGCTGGATGGCTCCCAATAGATATATATAGATATAGATATAGATATAGATATAGATATAGATATAGATATAGATATGAACATTAAACATTAAAAACATCCCACTACAGGGCTGCCTTCAGATGTCTTCTAAAAGCTGTATAGTTACCTAGCTCAGGGGTCGTATAACTCCATATCCTCCAACATTTCTTTGATGAAAATAGGAATGTCTAAGGAAAATAGGGACATTCCAGGATCAAATTAGAAACCGGGACGACTTCTGTAAATCTGGGACTGTCCAGGAAAACAGGGTCACTTGGAAGGGCTGCTGTTCCCCACACAGAGCTACAATTCTGAGTGGTTTAACAATAAATCCCTCTTCCCAGGGAATTCTGTGGAACCTCCCAATAACTCTCAGCACACTTGGAGGAGGAGAACTGGAGGAAATCATCCAGCAGTAGCATGTTGTGGAACAATAATAAGGCAAATTTGCTTGCTGAGCTGCTTTGCATCTTGGAGGCTGCTGATATCCCTGATCTAGTGAATGGACCTAATGGAAGCTGGCAGACATTGGTGGGTAGAAAGCATTGGAGTTTGCACACAGAAGGAGATGAATGCATATTATGCAATTAGCATAGCAATGGATGCAGAATTGCATCTCCTCAGGATTGCATCTGAAGTCCGGGAAATGCAACAGAAGCTCCTTTTTTATGGCTATTATTAAAGAAGACACACAGACCATGCCGACATATGATAAACAGACACACATTTATTACGCACACAAAAATGGCCATATGGACAGGCCCAAAGATCACCAGCTTGTTAGGTAGCTGTTTGAATAGCAAACACAAAGAGTCCGGCTGCATGCTAGTTCTATAGACAGGGGTGTCTAAATCCATCAAAACGAATTGACTTTGGTGCGCCTTCGAGCCCTGTGCATGACACAGTTTATTTACTTGTTATTTTGAAGGGGGAAAAGAATCCAAACCGCAGCTTGTTACGCACCATACATTTAAAAGACCCCACAAAGAATGGTTGGAACTGTAGCTTGTTGTGGGCACTGGGAGTTGTAGCTCTGGGAGGGATGAACGACGGTTCTTTGGAAGGGTGTGCTTTAAATGTTTGGGGGTGTCTACAGCTTGTGTCTTCATCCGAAACATTGATTCCAGGGTAGTGTACATGGTACAGGGTAGTTTCGGTGGTAGAACGCATGGCAGGCAGCCATCTTGGACGGGTTTGGCGCATAGTGGTTGCGGAGCTTCTCTTTAATCATGTCCCATAGTGCTGCCCGCCATGCGTTCTACCACCGGAACCAGGCGGAGGGGGAGTCAATTACACCTACACCTTCGTCGCCAGTGTTAAGTTGTGGGTGAACATATCAGACGACACAGCGATTCTTCAAACAGCTCTTGTTCAGTTCTGTCCTGGCCTGTGAATAAACAAGAGCTGTTTGAAGAATCGCTGTGTCGTCTGATATGTTCACCCACAACTTAACATGTGGGATTGTTGTTTTTATTTTTATTATATATTTTGTGGTTTTATATTTTGATTTTGTTCTGTGAACCGCCCCGAGACCTCCGGGTATAGGGCGGTATATAAATTCAATAAATAAATAAAATAAAGATGCCAAAACGTCTCAGGCCAGCCTTGCACATGCATACACACCATCTCCTTCCAGGCAAGGAAGATGCAATGTGCTAGTTCTCAGCATTCTTGGGCAATTCCAAGACTGAGTACTAGCTGGATCTCTCTGTTCACTTGGGCAAGCAGATAGATTCTAGATAGCAGCATTAGTTGCTATGATATCAAAATCACATTGAATGTATTGTTTGCACTCCGTAGCGCAAATTTGAATATTAAATTTTCTAGCTATGGAGTGGGCGGCATTTCCGAGAGACGTTTTTGTGGATCAGACCTATATGCAACAGATATATTACGTATGAATATGCCATGCAAGACGGAAGCAAGTTCTGCAGTCTGGTTTCAAGGAGAAACATGGTGGAATTTACATCAGCTCAAGTATAATTTGGCCACAATAAGGAAATTTTGTCCATGGTATGATTATTATTATTTTTTTAAAAAAAAATTATTAAGTTTTCAGTAAAAAATTAAACAGAAAAACATAAAAGAGAAATACACAAATACACACAAAAAAGAAATACACAAATACACAGTACATAATCCAAAGAAGAAGAAAAAGAAACAGAACAATTAAAAACAATCACCTTTTCATTTCCGTGTTTAAATTTACTTATTTTCTGGACCTCCTCATACCTCCCTCTTTTGTATTCCAGTCCAAATTGTTTGTCCAGCAATTTCTTTTCCACTTTTTTAATCCCAATCTTTAATCTTTAATATAATATAGCATTAAAATTTTACCTCTTAAAATACCAAATTTCCATTTCCTTAAACTTCTTTAATCCTAATCTTTAATCTTAATCTATCTATAACTTTAAATCCTATACAGCTGGAAACCACTTATTTTCCATCCAACATCACTCTAGCATTCTTTAATTTTGTAGTGTTTCTGTAGATAGTCTTTGAATTTCTTCCAATCCTCCTCCACCGACTCTTCTCCCTGGTCACGGATTCTACCAGTCATTTCCGCCAGTTCCATATAGTCCATCAGTTTCATCTGCCATTCCTCCAGCGTGGGAAGTTCTTGTGTCTTCCAATACTTTGCGATAAGTATTCTTGCTGCTGTTGTGGCATACATAAAGAAAGTTCTATCCTTTTTTATCACCATTTGGCCGACCATGCCCAAGAGAAAGGCCTCTGGTTTCTTAGGAAAGGTATATTTGAATACCTTTTTTTAATTCATTATATATCATTTCCCAGAAAGCCCTAATCTTTGGGCACGTCCACCAAAGGTGAAAAAATGTACCTTCAGTTTCTTTACATTTCCAACATTTGTTATCGGGCAAATGATAGATTTTTGCAAGCTTGACTGGGGTTATGTACCACCTGTATATCATTTTCATAATATTCTCTCTTAAGGCATTACATGCCGTAAATTTCATACCTGTGGTCCATAACTGTTCCCAGTCAGCAAACATAATGTTATGTCCAACGTCCTGTGCCCATTTAATCATAGCCGATTTTACCGTTTCATCCTGGGTGTTCCATTTCAGCAGCAAGTTATACATTCTTGACAAATTCTTAGTTTTGGGTTCTAACAGTTCAGTTTCTAATTTTGATCTTTCCACCTGGAAGCCAATTTTCTTGTCCAATTTAAATGCCTCCATTATCTGAAAATAATGAAGCCAGTCTCGCACTTTGTTTTTTAGTTTTTCAAAACTCTGCAATTTCAGTCTATCTCCATCTTGTTCCAAAATTTCCCAATATTTCGGCCAATTGACCTCCATATTGAGCTTTTTCAAGGCTTTCGCTTCCATTGGTGACAGCCACCTTGGGGTTTTATTTTCTAACAAATCCTTATATCTTATCCAAACATTAAACAGCGCTTTTCCACCTAGTCCTTTCGATACATTGGCCCCCTATTTGCAAAATGTAACAGTTCCAAAATACAGGTGCGCTTTCACTTTTGCAAGATTAAATATACTGCCTTCAGCTGTAACTTGAGGGCCGATTTCAAAAAATCCCGCTGGAAAAACGCTTATGTCCATGTGGAGATGGCAGTATTGAATCAGTAGCTCATGTGCTGCCAGCTTTCACTCTTTATAAAGATTTGAGGAGTGAGGTTATTCCCCCTCTACTACTATCCATACCAGCTCTCACGACCATTGCTACTGTGTTGTTTTCTTCTAACAGATGAAGATAACCTGGTGACAGCAAAATAAAAAATTAGCAGGGGCACTTATAATAAGATCTATTATTTGATTATTGACGGAAACCTCTAGAATGTATTTTGTATTGTTTTTACCTGTGTCTTCAATACATTGTATTTTATTTTATTGCTATGGCTAGTGGCTGATGCAAATTCTTCTGACTGTGATTCGATATGGTTTCAAGGAGAAACAAGGTGGGATTCACAGCAACTCAAGTATACACAAGCAAGAACCGCTTGCACTGCTGGAAAAAAGCCAGCGTGTGAATTCAGCGTGGCTTTTGTATCTCTTCGAGGATTAATTGGAGAAAGTGCAGTGTGTTTTAAATCATTTGGGTTAAGAGTTTGTTTGTTTGTTTGCTTTAATGTCCCTGACATTGAGCCGGTCGCACACTCAACCTCATTTATCTCATAGGGTTATTGTAAGGACAAAAGGGGAGGGGCTTTGGTAAGCCTGTTGCACGAATTCCGACTGAAATTCTTGCACATTCGAAATAGATACGTGTGCGCACATCCGTATCTGCCAAGGCAAGGCAAGAGAGGACAAACCCGGCGACAAACTCGCGTTTTCCACGCTCAACGTGCTCAGATTTCTCGGCCCCTCCCTCCTCCCTCCTCCCCCTCTTCCGATGAGAAGTCTTAAAAAGCGTCCGCGTCAACGCGAGGAAGATTGGCCTAGCTGGCTTTCCGTACTGGGAGCCCTAACAGCGTGAGAGTTGAAGAGAGCGAGTCTTCCTTCGCCGCCGCGGTCGCCGCCGCCTGTGGATTGGAACTTCCACGCTCGCGGGATTCGAAACGTCACAATGGCTCAGAACGTTCAGAATGTAACACTTTCTCTCACGCTGCCCATCACTTGCCACATTTGCCTGGGAAAGGTAACGGCACCTTGCGCTCGAGATGCAACCGCCCCCCACCCCACCCCCAAAAGGGACACTTTTAAGCGTGCGTGGTCCTCGGGAGAAAGCCATGCCTTGCGAGGGAGGAGAGCGAGAATGGATTCCAAGGAAGATTTCCTCTTTCTTTCCCCCCAAAAAGCTGTCGCGTTTCCCTCTGACACGTAGCCGATTGTTCCCCGGTTCCCAGATTTGTCCCTGCAGTTCACCGGAACCTCGTGTGTGTGGCTGCTTTTAGAGCCAGGAGGAGGAAGGGAGGCCTTGGCTGGACCATTGCCGTGTCGGAAAGATTCGCTTCCGCTTTTCAAGACTTATTGGGCTGTACAGTACTTAAATGAGGACGCGTTCGCTTTTTGTAAAATGAAGGGAAGCTCCTGTGATGAAGGGTCGGCCGGGGGCGAAACGAAGACTTCCCCCCTTCCTCCTCATTTGTTTCGGGGCTTTTAAAAATTATTATTTTAGAGTGATTGGAAATTGCTTGGATCAGAGTTGATGCCTTGTCAGTGGTTCTGAGAGACGAGCTTTTCGATCTGGGTTTCTGCAGGCTGAGAACCTGCTAGTAACAAGGCAGGCCAAATAATATGGAGTAGAAGCCTAGGCCAGACAGACCCCCCCCCCCGTTTAAGGACAGCCCTGCTTGCTTCACTAAGCTCTCCACAACCAATAATCTTATAGGAGTTCAGCTGGAGTTGATTTGTTTGTTTCCTCTTGCTTTCTACCTTCGTTTATGGCATGTATGCTGAGAAAATGTTGACTAGCACTGCAAGAAATGATCCTGAGCTATGATTTCAGATCTTATTTACAACCACTCTGTGGTCTACTGTCTTCTTTTCCTCCCTCCCAATCTGTTTGTTATGATGTTGTTTAGTCATGTCCAAATCTTCGTAACCCCATGGACCAGAGCACGCCAGGCACTTCTGTCTTCCACTGCCTCCCGCAGTTTGGTCAAACTCATGCTGGTAGCTTCGAGAACACTGTCCAACCATCTCATCCTCTGTCGTCCCCTTCTCCTTGTGCCCTCAATCTTTCCCAACATCAGGGTCTTTTCCAGGGAGTCTTCTCTTCTCATGAGGTGGCCAAAGTATTGGAGCCTCAGCTTCACGATCTGTCCTTCCAGTGAGCACTCAGGGCTGATTTCCTTAAGAATGGAGAGGTTTGATCTTCTTGCAGTCCATGGGACTCTCAAGAGTCTCCTCCAGCACCATAATTCAAAAGCATCAATTCTTCGGCGATCAGCCTTCTTTATGGTCCAGCTCTCACTTCCACACATCACTATTGGGAAAACCATGGCTTTAACTATACGGACCTTTGTTGGCAAGGTGATGTCTCTGCTTTTTAGGATTCTGTCTAGGTTTGCCATTGCCTTTCTCCCAAGGAGCAGGCGTCTTTTAATTTCATGACTGCTGTCACCATCTGCAGTGATCATGGAGCCCAAGAAAGTAAAATCTCTCACTGCCTCCATTTCTTCCCCTTCTATTTGCCAGGAGGTGATGGGACCAGTGGCCATGATCTTCGTTTTTTTGATGTTGAGCTTCAGACCATATTTTGCGCTCTCCTCTTTCACCCTCATTAAAAGGTTCTTTAATTTCTCCTCAGTTTCTGCCATGTTTGTTATGATACTTATGGGAAACTGTGTTCGCCGAATAGACCTGCAACCCTGTTTTCAGCAGGCTCTGTATACACATTGAAAGTTTGTGGCCGTGAGTATGATGGAGCTTGTTGGAAAACTTTTTCCCTCTTTCAGATCTGGTGGTGGCTTTTCTCATGGAGAGAGGAGTGTCTTCTTCTTTGGCGATCACTCGTAGCTGAGTATGATTGTCTTCCATGAACACGATCTTAATGATGTGTCCATAAGTGACTGTGGAGGCCAATTCTGGATCCACACGTCCTTACACAGTGGGGACATAGGTTTCTGGGTGGGAGTTGATCACGGCGAGTGTTTGCCTTCCTCTTAGCACATTTCTCCCTTTCGTCCTGAGTTCAGACATCTTCAAAGTCCATGACACCTTTGGCAAAGGCTGTTCTCCAATTGGAGCACTCACAGGCCAGTGTTTCCCAGTGGTCAGTGCTTATACTTGATTTTTTTAGATTTGCCTTGAGAGAGTCTTTAAACCTCTTTTGTTGACCACCAGCATTATGTTTTCCATTTTTAAGTTTGGAATAGAGTCGTTGCTTTGGAAGACGATAATCAGACATCTGCACAACATGACCAGCCCAACAAAGTTGATGTTGGAAGAATCATTGCGTCAACACTGGTGATCTTTGCTTCTTCCAGTACACTGACATTAGTTTGCCTGTCTTCCCAAGTAATATGCAGGTTTTTCAGAGATGCCGTTGATGGAAACTTTCAAGGAGTTGGAGATGGCATTTATAAGTGGTCCATGTTCTGATGGTGTTTCCTGCTTGGCAGGGGGTTGGACTCGATAGCCCTTGTGGTCTCTTCCAACTCTATGATTCTATGTTTCACAAGCATACAGTAAGGTTGGTAGTGCAATAGCTTTGTAAACAAGCATTTTGCTTTCCCTGTGAACCTCTGCACTTCAATCGGGAGAAAGCTGCACTCATAGAGCTCAGGTGATGCTGGATTTTGGCATCATTGTTGGCCCTTGTGGAAAGATAACTGCCCAGGTAGGAGAAGTGATAGACACTTTCCAATGTTACACCATTGAGTTGGATTTGTGGCACTGCAGAGGGGTTGTTTTGTGCTTGTTGGTGCAGCACCCTGGTTTTTTGGATGTTGAGCGATAGGCCAAACTTTTCATAAGCTTCTGCGAAGATGTTTAGGATGGTTTGGAGGTCATCCTCTGAGCGTGCGCATACTACGTTGTCATCAGCATACTGAAGCTCTATGATGGAAGTTATGGTAACCTTACTCTTTGCTTTCAGCCTACTCAAGTTAAAGAGCTTTCTATCTGTTCGATATATGGTTTCTACCCTGGTGGGGAATTTCCCTTCAACAATGTGTAGGATCATGGCAATGAAAATAAATAATAAATAGAGTTGGGGCGATAACACATCCCTGTTTAACACCTGATCCCACTGTGAATGGTTCACTTTGAGAGCCATTGTTATCTGCAATTGTTGCTGTCATACTATCACAGAGGTGCCGAAGAATGTTCACAAATTTATCTGGCCAGCCAATTTTCAGAAGAACAGTCCACAGGATATTACGATTTACAGTGTCGAAGCCCTTAGTGAGGTCAATAAACACCATATACAGGGGTTGGTTTTGCTCTCTGCATGTTTCTTGAAGCTGTTGAGCCGTGAAAATCATGTCTACTGTCCCCCTAGAAGGTTGAAAACCATTTTGGGATTCAGGAAGGGTAGCCTTGGATATAGTTAGGAGATGGTTTGCTAAGATCCTTGCAAGAATTTTGCAGGTCACAGCTAATAAAGAGATGCCTTCATAGTTTCTGCTATCCGTTCTATCACCTTTTTAAAAAAGGTTGATAATTTTGGCAACCCTAAAGTCTGCTGGGATCTCCTCTCCCAGATTTTTTCGATGAGCTTGTGAAGTTGTTGTGTAAGTTCAGTTCCACCGACTTTGAAGACTTCGGCAAGTATCCCATCAGTTCTACTGGCTTTGTTGATTTTCATTTGATTAATAGCTGTGCACAACTCTCCCAGGTTTGGAGATACTGCAAGCTCATCTTCAATTTGTTTTTGCAGGATTTGTGAGAGGACCTTGGCCGCTACAGGGGTGTTGTAGTTAAGGAGATGCTGGTAATGTTCTTTCCAGTGCAATGCAATAGCTTCTTTATGTTTTTCCTTTAAAAAAAAAAATAAAACAGAATGCTTTATAAACATGTTAAAAACTTAGAAACATACCCAAATAAAAACCATACACCAATATGAGAACATTCTGATTTTTTTAATTAGTGATACAGAAACATGAGTAGAGGTTGAGTCCTTATGGACTATAAATCTTTTATAATGATTATTGTTTTTAGACAGAAAAGCCACCATTAAATATTTTTCCCTGCTTTGGTAGAACCAAAATAACCTCAGAATAAACAAGTAGGCCCACTGATAAATTGGTCTTCAGTAATCTGCTAAAGCTATAGTGGATTGATCTGCTTGTATTAAAAGCAATGCATTCTTAATTATGAAACTGCTGAAGTCTTCCATTCGACATTTGAATGGTGTTGTCAGTTGTGTTTATATATCTTCTAAACGTTGAGTCACTTTGAAACTCTAGGGGGATCTATTTGATGGATTGCTTGAACCTCTGACATACCTTTGTTCACTGAGTCAAGGTAAGGATCCAGACACTAGCCAGGCCTCAAACCATACTGTGCCTTTATTTGCTGTCTGCAGGCATTTTCACCTGAAGCAGAGAGGACATTAAGACTAGGACTTGGTAGAGCATCCTTCACCAACCTGGTCCCTCCAGATATTTTGGGCTAAAACTCCCATCAGCTCCAGGCAGGTTGGGACAGTAGGTTGAAACTGAACATTCTCCTGCCCATCAGAGAGAAGGTTTTTTGAATGCCCTCTCCAGAGAAGTACACCTGTTTCAACTTATTTTCCTGGACCAGATGAAGACTTTCATTGGTACAAGCTTCTGGACTGGCTGACCATAATTTGACTGGCTTTTATTGATGTATATTGTTGTATTTTAATTGTAGGCCACCTGGGAGCTTGAGGCCAAAGAGTGGCTTTCAGGTTGACCTGATCAGCATCCTTTGTTCTTCACTAGCTAGTGTTTTGCAAGCAGCAAATGATGCTTTGTTTGTGAAATGGACTCCCAAGAATCAATAGGCAAAACTTGCCTGTGTGATTTTTATGTGCACCCCACCCCACAAGTTTGAATCCTGTGTACCAGAGGTGACCAACCTTTGACCTTCCAGATCTTGCTGGACTCCCATCATACCCAACTGGCATGGCCACTGGTTAGAGATAGTGGGGGTTGTGGTCTAGTGACTTCTGGAGACTGTGAGGTTCCCTATATCTTCTGTTTACATGTTCTCCTGGCATAGGTCTTTATGTAGCCAAAATGGCACCACCTCCGAGGTTAGCAGAAGTACCTGCATTTTAAAAAATGTAATAGAGGGCAACCCCAGAAAAAGCCGAATGAGAACTGAGCATGCTCAGTGGACAGGAAATGCCAATTGCCTAGGTGAGGAATAAAACAGAAAATCATGGGGGAGCAGGAGTGGAATAGAGTATCCTGCAAGAGGGCTGGAACAGAGTGTCCTTTGAGAGGGCACAACTGGCTAGCTGCTGCACTTATCAGGAAAACATCAAACAGCAGCTTTTGGTTGCTGGCCTCACCTTAAAACTCATATTTTCCGCAAAACCTTTGGACAGCTCCCTAGCCTCCCTAGCCCCGATACCCTCCTTCTGAAACAAACTCTGTGTGTAATTGAAACAATGGCATATTCTGCTTATTTTCCCCCCGTTTAGTGTTTCTCACCCCTTGGGATGTGGGTGGCTCTGTAGTCTAAACCACTGAGCCTCTTGGGCTTGCCAATCAGAAGGTCGGCGGTTCAAATCCCGGCAATGGGGTGAGCTCCCGTTGCTCTGTCTCAGCTCCTTCCAACCTAGCAATTCAAAAGCACACTAGTGCAAGTAGATAAATACGTACCATTGCGGTGGGAAGGTAAACAGCGTTTTTGTGAGCTCTAGTTTCCATCATGGGGTTCTGTTGCGCCAGAAGCTGGCCACATGACCCAGAAAACTGTCTATGGACCAATGCCGGCTCCCTCGGCTTGAAAGCGAGATGAGCGCCACAACACCATAGTCACCTTTGACTGGACTTAACCATCCAGAGGTCCTTTACTTTTACCTTTACTCCTTGGGTCAATTTATAAATTGAAAGCCTCTTGTGGTAGGGCCCTACCCTCTCATTATGCCCAGGGCACTTTACAGAGAAACAATAATGCTCCAATATAAAATAAGTAACATTTGGAGGCTGGGGTTGCAACTGGCACGTGCGGTTAGATTTTCTTGCTTGAGAAAGTGTATTGAATCTAAGAAGAAGTTGACCCAGACCAGATATGCGGCAGACTTCTCAAAACGGCGATTCATAAGAGCCCTTAGAGAAACCACAGCTGGTAGGTGCCATCTTAGAAGAGGCACACTCTCTGTGATGCACAAACAACACTACTGTGTGCCCTTGAATGATTTGTGCGTAGGACAATCTATCGTATAATGTGCTGCTTTGGGGGACTTTTGTCTTGGGTGATGTGAAACTTCTGGTTGTGGTTGAATCCGTAGCCTGTCACAGAGAAGTTGGATGCTCAGAAGAGTCTCTGGCCCCTATGGACGCACCGGACCATAGGATACACCGGACCATAGGAGGAGCAGAATAGGAGGAAAAAAAATTCTCCCCCTCTCTGCTCAGCGCCCCTTCAGCGAAGCGGTAGGAGAAACGGAGCCCCTTCCATTTCTCCTCCCGCTTCGCTGAAGGGGCGCTGCGCAGCTCTCCCTCTCTGCTGAAGCCGGGAGAGTCTTGCTCTCCCGGCTTCAGCAAAAGGAACCCGAAGCCTTTGGAGCGCAGCGTGAATTCCCACTGCACTCCAAAGGCTTCAGGAGGCTATCCCTGAAGCCTGGAGAGTGAGAGGGCTCGGTGCGCACCAACCCCTCTCGCTCTCCAGGCTTCAGCGTAAGCGAAAGCAACGCGAAGCCTCCAGAGCGCCTCCTTAATTTTTGGAGGGGAAAAAGTATGTCCTATAGAGTGAAAAATACGGTATCCTGTAAAACAAGACAGTTGCAAACAATGCAGTGGAGGAGAGATTTATACCTGACCTCCTGGCAGGTGCTGCAGCTTCCAGGAGGGAGAGAGGTGGCAACAAGTTTGGCCCAGTGCAAACACACCAGCTGAGCCAATCTAGCCATGTGTTTGCACTGTGAGACCCTCCTGTCTACCCCCCCCCCCCCCGTTCCCAGTAAGCAGTAGCCGTTCAGCTGTCAGGAGGACAGTTAAGCATCTCTGCCATGCCACCTGCTACTGGTCATACAAAAGGTTGCTTACTTGTCTGAGGGGTTTTTTTGGCACCCATTTCTCCACCTAGGCTTGTAGCAGTCCAAAGGCATTCTAGACCAGGGTTTGCGAAACTTGGGGCTATAGCTGTTCTTGGACTACAATTCCCATCATCCCTAGCTAGCGGGACCGGTGGTCTGGGATGATGGGAATTGTAGTCCAAAAACAGCTGGAGACCCAAGTTTGGGAAATACTTTTTGAGACAAAGGCACTTGACAAGGGCATGGAAAACCGCTGGTATGGTCTGAGGAGAGTTCAGAGGGCAGATAGAGAGCCCTAGATGACTGTTTTTGGCCCCTGAGATGCCCCACATGAATTGCAAGGCATTGTAGAGGACTTAGGTTTGTTTGCCTAGGACAGAGCAGTAGACCACAATGCTTGAGAAATTAGGCTTTTTTTATTTTATCCTGTGTCTCATATCTCTGGAAGTAGAGCAGAGTTTAGAAGCACAAATATATCAAAGGCTTTTGGGAGCAAAAGTAACATTTGTTTTGGTCTCTAAAGAAGTTTTCGCAGTGGGCGAAGTAGCATTATGAAATGCAGAATTTCTCTGTTTATAGTTGATTATTGAATCCCAGGGTTGGACTCCAAGCAGAATTTTAAATTAAAGGGAGATCTTATTAGTAATGCCTTTCAGAAACTTATTTTTCTAAAACCGTTTGTGCTCCTTTAGGAAAATATATAAGCATCTTGTTAAGATACAAATGCTTAAAGCCCCAATTCTCTGTGGCATAGCAGCTCTTTACTTCTGCCTTCTGTACAATAGAACATATTATATTGGATGGTTATCAGTGCTTAGAACATCTCAGCAGGGTGGAGAAAACCTCTTGCCCTTCCCTGGTAGCTTCACTAATTTTTGTCTGCAGGGAAATGGTAAACTGGCGGAGTTTTTTGTGCTGCAGATTCTTCAGCAAGTCTAAACTCCGTTTCGAGTTCACTTATTATTGCATCCCTTGGGTCTTTTGTCCTGGGGTTCTGTGCAAAAGAAACACAGTGCATAACTTGGGCGTTGGACAGTCTGGACTTCCTATTTATTTTCTAAAGTTTCTAGTTCTCAGTGTGGTGTAAAACCGGGAAGGCGGAAATCCTGGAAACTTGGGTTACATTGGGCCGCTGTGCCAGAAGCAGTCAGGGGCAATCTTCTAGAAGTCTAGCAAGCAATTTCTGTACTTTTTTGTTACTTTTTTCAAACATTTTCACAAAATCAAATAATTACATTGTTTCATAAATTGACTTCCTACCCTCACCTCCCACAGTGTTTTTACTCAAACCCTTTCTACTGCATTATATATATTTATCTGTTACAGAAAGCTTCTCTATGACAATTAATTTTTCCTTTTTCTTCTACTGCTTTTATCTCACGATTTCATTTGATGTGTGTGTGTGTGTGTGTGTGTAAATAGTCCACAAAGAGCCTCCATTCTTCTATGAAAAGTTTATCATTTTGATCTCTTAATTTCCCTGTCAGCTTTGCCATTTCTACATAGTCCATTACTTTCAAAAACTGCCACTCCTCTTCTTTCCATTTCTGTGTATATAATATTCTAGCTGTTTGGACCTGATATAACTTTCACTTTTCATCACTTTTCAAATTTGCAATACCGTCTTTCTATCTTACAATACCCAAGGTGGACTTCCGGGTCAGCGCCATTGGTGAATGGCGGAGTTCCTCCGACCGGAGGAACGGGCTCCGTGGAAACTGGGTCTTCCCGCCGCGGCGAAGGTGGGGACCCGCTAGAAATCCCAGGCGGAGGAAGCCTGGGAACGTGGGGTTCGGCAGGGCACCAGAAGCGCCCCCCTACTCGCGGGGAATCCCATCAAGGGGCTCCGGAGCGAAGTGGGGTGAGAAGCGTGGTGCTACAAACTGACTGCTACTTTCACGGAGTGAAGCCGCACAGCCATTGCCAGAGAGCGCTGACTTTTTCCTGTGGACAATTGGACTTAAAACAAGTACCCGTGAGTAGAAACGGAAAATTGGATCAAGAAATTGTTTAATTTGGTATCGAAGCGGGAAGGTGCAAACAGGAAGTCCGCCTTCCGCTTTTTTGTATATAGACTAAAGCAAAAATTTTGCAAGCTAAAGCCGGGAAGCTGTAAAAAAAGGCTAAATTTCCTTCATTCAGAAATACTGAAACCCCCCTTGGAAGCAGGAGAAAAGGGTGGGGGGGGCTCTGTTTAACCCTAGCAGGAGAGGGAGTGAAGAAGGATAAGTTTCCACCGTCTCTAACCTGGGAACGGGGTGTCAGAGACAGAAACTGTTGGAGAGGTTCATTGACTGTGAACGTAACACTTTGACAGATAGCTAATGAAGAGAAACAAGTTGATTCTAATGTTGCCTTTTGCATTTTAAAGAAACAAAATATCTGAAAAACATCTGAAATATCTGAAAAATGAAAGTAACTTTCCTTTGTCTTAAAAAAAAAAATGGATACAAATAGTTTGTCTCCTCTAGAGGGAGCCTGCTAAATTGTTGCTGTAGTATATTTGAGACCCAACATCTGTGAGATTAAGACCGTGGGAACAGTCTTTTCTGACCTTGAACAAAGATGAGCTGGGAGGAAGACTGGGTGCTTGCTTTACGCAAGACAAATGCTTTGCTGGAACAGATGCATGAGAAGATGGACTTGATGAATGAGAAAATGGATTTGACTGTTGTGGTTAATAACTGTGGACAAACAGGGAACATTGATACAGAAATCATTCAGGAACCAACCTATGAATCTGTACTGACTGGGCAAGTGCAGATGACAATGGAGGAGGATGCGGCTGCACCTCAAATAGCACAAATGGAGAGACCCGAGGCCCTACAGGAGCATAAGCCGCTGTTATTGAAGATTGAAGTTGGAGTGGGCCAAGGGGAGTCTGGAGATGAGGAGGTTCCTAGCTTTGGAGAGATCTTGACATTTGATTTTAAATACATTTTGGATTATAACGAGGACTGTGGGGAGTGGGACTGTGGGGAATGGGCGAGCTGGATGAAGGATGATGGAGACAATTTTGGGTTGGAATCTCCCAGAGACCTACTCCTCAATGAGAAACGAAAGAAACTAAGACAGAGACCAACAAAAGACAAGGAAAAGGGCAAGCACAAACAAGATGAAGAAGAATTACAGAAGGGACATGGAAGAGACTTAAGGGCCTCGGACATAAGGCTTCCAGGTTGATGGACTAGATGGAATGGACAGTAAGGACTGACACGACCCGAGACCAGGAAGAAGAGACGCTGGATGATGATTGAAAGAGAATTTATAATGGAAATTTTTATTTTAGAATCAGCTTAATGAATATTAGTGAAAATGTGGGAATGAAACTATACGACTCTAGCAGAAATGTTATCAGGAGCTATGTATATTTGAAAACTAAGATTTAAGTCTTAAGGTACTTAGGGGTAAGATAAGGTTAAATAAATTAAGATAATTTGAATAACAGAATATGGGGAAAGATGGAAAGGATCTGTTGAGTTAATTATTAGGTTAAATTGTTAAGATAAATTTTATAACAAAAATTGAGAAAGATGGAAAGAATTTGCTGAAATAATTATTAAACTAGAATACGAAAAGGGAGGTGTGAGGAGGTCAATGAAACAAGCGAATGGAAATTATGGATATGCAATTTGGGATTTGTGTTTTTTTTCTTCTTTTTTCTTCTTTTTTATATTTTGTGCTTTTCTCTTTTTTATTTTTTTTTATTTTTTTTTGTATTGTAGTGTTGTTGTTTTTTAATTTTTTGTTTGTTTGTAATCCTGAAATTATCAATAAATATTATTAAAAAAAAAAAAATACAATACCCAAGGCGGTTTACAAGCTGAAGAAACAAAGAATGTACACCTTATAACAATCTAATGCAATACAAAAAAAAATGTGATAATAAAACATAACCTTAAAATAAGCAACCTACTTCAAATAAAGTAACATTCAACAATCCATTAGAATAATATAGAATAATATAAAATATCAGCGTATAAAAATTAAACAGAAATCCACTCTTAACAATTATAATAAATAATTTCTAAACTACAATCAAGAAAACAACGGCAAGCCACAGTGCATAAAATAATACAATACAAATTGAGAAGCAGAGACTGGAGGGTGGGACTAAGGCAGGTGGAAGAAGCCTTGCCTGATGAAGTCTCTCCCCTCACTTTTTACATTCTGCTCTGTATACCCCTTCCTTACCCATGTATTTTCTTTCTTTCTCTCTCCCTCTCTGCCTTGGTGGCACTGCTGTTTGCTGGCTTACTAGTAGTACATGTGAGAAGGATCTAGGGGTCTTGGTGGACCACAAGCTTAACATGAGTCAACAGTGTGATGCAGCAGCAAAAAAAAGCTACCGCTATCCTAGGCTCCCTCAACAAAAGTATAGCGTCTAGATCAAGGGAAGTACCGTATTTTTTGCACCATTACACTCACTTTTTTCCTCCTAGAAAGTAAGGGGAAATGTCTGTGCGTGTTATGGAGGGAATGCCTACGGGTGGCATGCCTACGGATTTTCCTCCTCTAAAAACTACGTGCGTGTTATGGTCGGGTGCGTGTTATAGAGCGAAAAATACAGTATTAGTACCACTCTGTTCTATTCTAATCTATTCAATTTGTGGGTGGCGCTGTGGTCTAAACCACTGAGCCTAGGGCTTGCTGATCAGAAGGTCGGCGGTTCAAATCCCCGCAACGGGGTGAGCTCCCATTGCTCGGTCCCTGCTCCTGCCCACCTAGCAGTTCGAAAGCATGTGAAGTGCAAGTAGATAAATAGGTATCACTCTGGTGGGAAGGTAAACGGCATTTCCGTGCGCTGCTCTAGTTTGCCAGAAGTGGCTTAGTCATGCTGGCCACATGACCCAGAAGCTGTACCAATAAAGCGAGATGAGTGCCGCAACCCCAGAGTCGTCCGCAACTGGACCTAATGGTCAGGGGTCCCTTTACCTTTACCTTTTATTCTGCCTTAGTCAGACCACACCTGGAATACTGTGTCCATTTCTGGGCATCACAATTTAAGAAACTGGTCCTGCTATCTAGGGATCATGGGAGTTGTAGGCCAAAAACATCTGGAGGGCTGAGGTTGAGGGAGCCTGAGCTGGAACGTGCGCAGAGGAGGGCAACCAAGATGATCAAGGGTCTGGAAACTAAGCTCTGTGAGGAACAGTTGAAGGAGCTGGGTATGTTAGACTGGAAAAGAGGAGACAGGATAGCCATCTTCAAATATCTTAAGGGCTGTCACATGGAAGAGGGAGCATGCTTGTTTTCTCCTGCTCTGGAGCGCAGGACTCGAACCAACGGCTTCCAGTTGCAAGAAAGGAGATTCTGACTAAACAGACAGAAAAAGCTTTCTGACAGAGCTGTTTGACGGTGGAACAGTATCCCTTGGGAGGTTGTGGACTCTCCTTCCTTGGAGGTTTTTAAGCAGAGTTTGGATGGCCATCTGCCAGGGATGCTTTATCTGAGAGTCCAGCATTGCATGTGAGTGTCTGGAGGAAGTTGGAGGATGGATGGCGGCTAACAGATTGAGGTTGAATCCTGACAAGACAGAAGTACTGTTTTGGGGGGACAGGAGGCGGACAGGTCAAATCTGTGTCCAGGGCAGCTGTTTACCAGCTCCATCTGGTACGCAGGCTGAGGCCCTATCTGCCCGCGGACTGCCTCACCAGCGTGGTGCATGCTCTGGTTATAAATTATTATTATTATTATTATTATTATTATTATTATTATTACCCTTGGGTTCCTTCTAACTCTAAGATTCTATGTTCCTTGCATGATTTTCCCAAAAAGGGAAAAGAGCAATTGCTGCTAGAATACCTTTTTAATTGTTATACCCTCTCCGTTGCAAGGTCCGTCATCCGGTCATCTGTGCCAACAACCATGTCTTCTGCTCCATTTGTATCGAAGTGTGGCTGAAGAACAACAGTCAGTGTCCTGCTTGTAGGATCCCCATCACCACTGACAATCCTTGCAAGGAGGTCTTAGGTAAGGCAGCCTTTCCCCCTCCCATCAAATGCATGCATAATCTCTTTATCCTCTGAATAGCATGGAGCCTTCTGCTGAGGCTCGCAACCAGCTTTTGTATTTTTATTCTGCCCTTTTTGCAACGGTGGCGTCCGTTTCACTATATCCCATTTTGTTTTTGCAACATCCCCGAGAAACAGATTTGACTGTGATCGTGTGACTGGGACATGTTATCCAGCAAACCCAGGTGTTCCCAGCCATAGCCTTGATTCTCGAGCCAGTGCGCTGCAGTGGGGTGTAGTGGTTAGAGCAGGTGTCACCAACGCAGCACCCACAGGGGCATGTGCCAAGACCATATTCCTGGCACCCACAGGGTCCCTGCCCCTGCTGAAATGAGGCTTGAAAGAAGCATTCTGTTGTAGCCAATAGAATAGATTCAACATGTGCTGAGTTTGTTGTTTGTGCCAGGCAAAGTTTCCCCAGTTTGCAAATAATATGCCCCCAGAGTCGGCAACCCTGAAGCGAAATGTTGGCCTGGGAAACTTGAATTCAAATCTCCGCTCAAGTCGTGAAGTTTACTGCTTGACCTTGGGCCAGTTACTTTTTTTTTCTACTTAGCCTACCTCACAGGGTTGTTGTCAGGTATATGGGTGGCACTGTGGGTTAAACCACAGAGCCTAGGACTTGCTGATCAGAAGGTTGGCGGTTTGAATCCCCGCGACGGGGTGAGCTCCCGTTGCTCGGTCCCTGCTCCTGCCAACCTAGCAGTTCGAAAGCACATCAAAGTGTAAGTAGATAAATAGGTACCACTCCAGCGGGAAGGTAAAGGGTGTTTCCATGCACTGCTCTGGTTCACCAGAAGCAGCTTAGTCATGCTGGCCACATGACCTGGAAGCTGTACGCCGGCTTCCTCGGCCAGTAAAGCAAGATGAGCGCCACAACCCCAGAGTCAGCCACAACTGGACCTAATGGTCAGGGGTCCCTTTACCTTTACCTATATGTGTTACACATTCCAGGAAACTACATGGGAGCGATTGCAGAGGTGGTAGCAACCCCAGATTATAAGTAAAGAAGACCCCCAGATTATAAGTAAAGAAGACTTTAGGCTGGAATCCTCTACCTGGCAGCAAGGCCTATGGAAATCAGCATTCTGATTTCTGAGTAGACACGCAGAAGATGTAATGAATTTTATAAATATAAATAAGATTTCATTGCACGTCTCTCAGGGTGTTTGTCAGGAGGAGAGTGACTTTAGGATTTGACAGCCTTTGTGAATCGTAATCTTAAAATAAATTACATTTAAACTTCAAAACGAAGTTTGCAAACTTGCTGCCCCTCCAGATGTTGAGGCAGGGATGTTGTAGTCTGGAGACATCTGGAGGGGCTGCACATGTTTAGAAGAAAGCTGAGCACTGAACGGAGCCTTGCTTGTTGTGTTGCTGCAGGAGGGACGAGTGAAAGCAACCCTGTGTTCAGCCCGACGGTCAGGAAACAGCTCCGCAAAACGAGGCTGGAGCTAATGCACAAAGAATATGAGGTAAGGCGGTGTCAGGAAGGGTGGTTTGTGAGGTTCTGGTTTGTATGGAGCCAACTCCCTTGGGACACATTAGCAATGGGGAACCAACAACCTATGGACCTTATTAGGTCCGCAAGGGCATTTTGGCCAAGCCACACCCACCTGCCCTACACCTGTGAAGTGTGGGGCAGGTAATGACCTGGCTCAGCTAAAAGCAAAGTGGTCCACAAGACTCAGCTATCATGCCCAGCCTTTTGCAGAACACTCCACAAGACAAGGCTTTGCAAGTGGGTCTTTGTGGATGCTCTGGGGACTTTACAAGCCCTGGTGAATCAGTGGGTTCTCTGGTCCAGTGTCAGAAACCCAGCCTGTACACTATCTGTATATTGAGGAGCTTAAGGTGTACACTGGATGGAAGCCCATATTTTGAAACTGCTTTGTGCTCCAAGGTGCTGTTCCGTACAGATCTGGCTAAAATAATAATTATAAGAATAATAATTTATTATTTGTACCCCGCCCATCTGGCTGGGTTTCCCCAGCCACTCTGGGCGGCTCCTAACAGAATATTAGAAACACAATAAAACATCAAACATCAAAAACTTCCCTAAACAGGGCTGCCTTCAGATGTCTTTTAAAAGTCGGATGGTTATTGATTTCCTTGACATCTGATGGGGGGCGTTCCACAGGGTGGGTGCCACTATCGAGAAAGCCCTCTTCCTGGTTCCCTGTAACCTCACTTCTCATAGTGATGGAACCGCCAGAAGGCCCTCGGCACTGGATCTCAGTGTCCAGGCTGAACGATGGGGGTGGAGATGCTCCAGGTATACTGGGATAAGGCCATTTAGGGCTTTAAAGGTCTGCACCAACACTTTGAATTGTGCATCTGCCTAGGCTCTGCTGAGGAAAAGATGCTGTTTGAGATCAGCCTTTGGTCTGATCCAGTACTATAAGATCTCTCTCTCATTCACACACATACAGGGTGAGTCGTTTAAAAGAGGCCCCATGGATACAGAGTACACATGTTCCACAGGGCCTGTTTTAAAAGACTCACCCTATATATACATGTACAGTGGTACCTCGGGTTAAGAACTTTACCTCAGTGGTACCTTCAGGTTACAGACTCCGCTAACCCGGAAGCAGTACCTCGGGTTAAGAACTTTACCTCAGGATGAGAACAGAAATCGCGCACCGGTGGCAGTGGGAGGCCCCATTAGCTAAAGTAGTACCTCAGGTTAAGAACGGTTTCAGGTTAAGAACAAACCTCCGGAACGAATTAAGTACTTAACCAGAGGTACCACTGTTCTCTTTGATGACAGATTCAAAGCCAGCTCATTTTCTGTACCGGGATCAGCCTACAAAAACCTGAAGAATTGAGCAGTATAACAAAGAAACTTAGCCGATATTGTTGTTGTTTTTCCCTCTTCTTTTCCTGCCTCCTGCAAAAACGTGTTTCTTCTGCCCCCTAATCGGCCATGGGTTTGCCTCACTCGGAAGGATGAAATAGAATCTCTGCAGAAGGAAGTGGAGGAGCTAAAAGGGAGCAAGCTCAGTCTAGAGGCGCAGCTCAAATCTGTCCTGCACCCCGAGACGCTTGACGTGTCTGACAAAACCCGGGCGAGTCCAGGACTCTCGGAGGACAAGCACAAGGTGGATCCAGAGACTTTGGCGGTATGGACACAGAAGCTTCAGGCGGCTAATGATATGTATGAAAAAGTGAAGGAGGACATGGGAGCGCTAACGGAGGTAATGAATGCGAAATCTGACAATATTGAATGGGCAGGGATAACTGGCGGTGTGACCTCTTGTGTAATTTCCTAGGTGGGTTGAGAAGCGAAATAGGGTTGAGGCACTGGGTCAGTGGACTTCCTGTTAATTGGCCATTGTCCAATATTCCATGAAACCAAGAATGTGGTTGTATGAGGTCCATGTTCTGTCTTCTTTTTCGACACACCATCATTGGACGGCATGGGCAAGCCCTGATCCATGCAGGGACTGAGTTCTGGGTCATTGCGCACTTGAGTGAAATCGTGTGCTATTGAAATACCCCGTCCCCCATTCCGCCCTTTTCGTGATATCTTTTATGACGTTTCCGGGTCACTTTGGGGCTCGGCACTGTGTGCGATTGCGCACGTATCGGCCATGACTGTAATTAACTTAATGGCGCCTGAATGTTCCCTTCATGGCTGTCGAGATTATATAACACCGGTCCTGAAAGACTTACATTGGCTCCCAGTATGTTTCCGAGCACAATCCAAAGTGTTGGTGTTGACCTTTAAAGCCCTAAAAGGCCTCGGCCCAGTATACCTGAAGGAGCGTCTCCACCCCCACCATCCAGCCCCGGACACTGAGGTCCAGCGCCGAGGGCCTTCTGGCGGTTCCCTCACTGCGAGAAATGAGGTTACAGGGAACCAGGCAGAGGGCCTTCTCGGTAGTGGTGCACTCTCTGTGGAATGCCCTCCCATCAGATGTCAAGGAAATAAACAACTATCTGACTTTTAGAAGACATCTAAAGGCAGCCCTATTTAGGGAAGTTTTTAATGTTTGATGTTTTATCGTGTTTTTAATATTCTGTTAGGAGCCGCCCAGAGTGGCTGGGGAAACCCAGCCATATGGGCAGGGTATGAATAATAAATTATTGTTATCATTATTATTACAGGATGGTGCATGCATGTTCCCTTCATTGAGGGCCCACAATCTTGTAACTGTCCCTCCTGAAAGCTTAGACCTCTTTGCCTTCGCTCCACCTATTTTGGCTCCCCCACTCCACTTTTTCTTTCTCCAGATTCTCCGCACCCCGATGGCATTTTCTCAGTGCCAAAGAGCCACAGCATCCCTATCCTGGTTTAGCATAATGTAAACAAGCTGTAAGGAGCCTCTGTCTCATGCTGTGCTCACACACCTTTCCTCTTGCATGGTCAGAAGGAAGCATTAAGACACTTCCAGTTTTGCTTTAGTGCAATTTGTCCGACCTTGCAGGTCCAATCTGTGCCCACCCCAATAGGCTGACTCTGACAAGCAGGGCAACCTGTTTGCACGTCACCTGGATGCCAGATGATGGGCAGGGGGGTTTCTCCGCCTGCCCACGAAAGACCCATGTGCAGCCGCTGACAGTCAATTGGTCTGTCGGAAACGCAGCACAAAGACGCTTTGCAAGCCCCATGTCTGCGTTTCCCGAGCTCCAGGTCTTGGGTTGGTGGAGCTGCTTTGTGTTGTTTGTCAGCTCCAGGGTCCTGCAGCCAATCCTGCAGGCTTGAACCAACAGCCCATCAGCTGGTAGAGCCATGACTTCAGCCCCTGTTTTTTGCAGGTATCGGCTGTGCAAGTAGGTGTGGTTTGGAGGAAACAGGGATATGGGTCAAAATTCGGCCTGTGGGCCGCAGCCCTTGTATGCAACTGAATTCCTGACCTTTTCTTTGTTGCGAGTGTGCGAACATGTGCGCCTGTGGCTTCCTTGCCCTTAACGGAAAACGAGACACTTGATTCCGTTTGCGGAGACAAGAGGGGCTTTAAATCCTGAGGCTTATTAATAGCAGCATTCTGCAAGCGACACCAATGGGGCCTGGCAAATAAGTTGTCATCGCGGATTTTGTTCTCTAGAGTGTGTGTGTCTGTGCCTCTCTTTTTATTTTTTCTATAAGGGGAAAAAGCCGCTTGACAATCTTAACTCGGTTTGGGAGAGTCGGGAAGCTGTTCGACACTCATTTTGCTGATACCTGCACATTGTAATGTTAATGCATTTAAAGTATTTAGTCATGTGGAGATAAGGAGGGGGGGAACATGGAATTGCCATTAGTACCTCCCCACCACCACCCCTTAATGACTGTCAGGCTGAACTAACATGGCTCTGTTTATTTCCCTGGGTAGAAGCCTTGCGGTGTATTTTGGGAATATAAATTAAAAATGCCTGTTCTTTCTCCAGTTTTTGCAAGCCATTTCCCAGGGTAATTTTTAAGTGGTGTCTCTGTCGAGGGTCTCGGAGAAGAGGGAGCGGAGTTAACTGTTGCTCCTGTCTAAATATGCTTCCCCTCCTTTAAAGTCTTATAAACATTACGAGTGAGTTTGTTTGGGGGTTTTTCCCTGCGCACTTATAATCCTATTTATTTCCATATAGGTAAATAAGAAGCTGAGGCTCGAAAACAGTGGCCTTGTGAGGGAGAACTTGCGGCTAAAGGCTGAGGTTGGAAGCCGATCGCCCCAGAAGTATGTAAATATTTTAAAACTTGTCGTGCATTATTCATTCGATCATACACAGCTACTGGAGGACCATAACCGCCGTTGCAGGAATGCATACTGGGCTGGTGGAGATCTTTGTCTTTGTTTTGTGTGTGTATGTGTGTGTGTGGAGATTAAATAGGAATTCTGAACGGCTTGTCTTCCTTCAGACTTAGATGCTATATGCCGTCTCTGTCTGAATGCATGGTGATTTATATTAGATTTGTTTCAAAACCACCTACAACGGTATTACAAAAACTTCTTGATATTTGCCTGCTTCCTACTTCCCCTCCCCCGCCCAACCACCACCACAACCCCCTGTACTGTTCTATAGAATAATAATAAAAAAAAGATTTATTCCTGAGTCCTCAAAACAACACAGGTATTCAAGTAGAAATTTATTGGTTTTGTTAAAAGTGTTTGTAGCCCACCCTGCAGCCCGAAGGTCCAAGGGTGGAGATGCAAAAACAGGACAATCAAATCAACAGCAGGTAAAAATGATTCCCCATTCCTTCACGACAACGGTACTGCTAACTACAGCCTTGTATTCAGATGCTTGGATGCCATGGGTGGCAAGGGAAGTAAATTAACGGACAGGCAAAGAAAGGGTAGAGCAGGGATAGCCAACATGGTACCCTCAAGATGTTGATGGACTTCAACTCCCATCAGCCCCAGCAATGGGAGATGATCAGAGATTATGAGAGCTATAGTCCAACAACATCTGAAGGGTACCATCCATTCTTCCTCCACCAACCCGTAGTGTTTCCAGGCTGGTCTCAGAGGTGGGGAAGTCTAGCCTATTCCTGGTTGCTCTCAAGGTTACTTAGAGAACTTGGTGGAAAGCCATATTGTTCCCTCTTCTCAAAACATTGGTTGAAACAGATCATAGCATTGTCCACCTTTTCCACAATGACTCCTCCAGTAGTTTTGTGGCCATCGTCCATTTCTTCCAGCTCTCATACAACAAGTTTTGGAACCCGGGGTCCCCAACATGGCACCTGTGGGCACAGGTGGCACCCTTGGAAATTCCCGTCGGGACCCACCAAGGCCCACCAGCCTCTTCCAATGTTTAGTTGTTCTTCTTCCTTTGCTGAATTTCAAGAGTGTGGTGAACAGCTCCTATCACTGACCATTGGCCATGTTGGTTGGAGGTGATGACAATTGGAGTCCCAACATCTGGAGAACTTCATGTTCCCCACTCCTGATCTGCTATGTTAAAAGAACCATTGCTTCAAAGAAGGTGATGAGACTGGGAGAGCTCAGTTGGTAGAGTAGGAGACTCTCAACCTCGGGGTTGTGGGTTTGAGCCCCACATTGGACAAAAGAGTCCTGCCTTGTAGAGTCCTTTCTGACTATGATCCTATGGAAGAGAGGGCGGTCATCTCATCTTGGCTGTCTGATGTGTGCAAACCACAATGTTGGGTCGGACATGAGATACATTCCTACCTAACTGCCTTCCTGTGTTAAATGCACTGGAACTAGACTGGTGGGTTAGTTAATGTGCTGATGTAGCCCTGCTCAGTCTGTACTTCACCGTGTGTCCCTTATGGCTGCTAGAATCTTGGTCTTTCTGAGGTCCAGAGACACTTCTTAAGAGAACCTGCGCTTAAGAGTACAATGCTTTCTCTTGGTAAGCAAATTAGAGGTTGCCTCTAATGCAGGTTGCATTAAATAAACATCTTACACATTTCTTCCATTGGACTTTTCTGCTAGATCTGCATATAAGTGAACTGTGCATATTTTGCACAGGCAAGTCTCTCTCTTCCACGGCAACTACGGCTGGCCCTCGAAGTAAACGGCAGCTTGCTAACAGGCCCCCGTGTCTTTTCACCATGAATCCTTTCTTGCAGCACTGTGAATGTGCCAAGCACGAGCTAGCCTATCCTTCCAAGGGGGGCTGCTACCGATGCATTGACGATAGATGGTGACCAGCCTGAAGGGAAAGCGACACGCTCCCTGCTTTTCCAGTGGGAGACAAGTGTTGTTGGAATTTGAACAGGGTTCAAAGGCTGCCTCAGCCGCTGTTGGCAGAGTCCAACAGTACTTTTTGCGCCTTGGAAAGCAGGGAGAGGGAGCCCCCCTCTGAAACTTGCATTTCGTTGTGTGCCCTTCCCCCCTCTGCTTAGGAGGACGACAAGAAGGCCACGAGAGAATTTCCAACTTCCCCCAAGTGCTTCTGCTTGAAACAGAAACAGAGTTAGCTCGGCAGCCATTTTGAACATGCCACTGGTTTGCATGACACAGTGGTACCTCGGGTTACATACGCTTCAGGTTACATGCGCTTCAGGTTACAGACTCCGCTAACCCAGAAATAGTACCTCGGGTGAAGAACTTTGCTTCAGGATGAGAAGAGAAATCGAGCTCCGGCAGTGCGGCTGCAACGGGAGGCCCCATTAGCTAAAGTGGTGCTTCAGGTTAAGAACAGTTTCAGGTTAAGAACAGACCTCTGGAACGAATTAAGTACTTAACCCGAGGTACCGCTGTACCAAGATTTTCAACCTTTCTGAGTCCACGGCTCCCTTGACCAACTATGTTCTTTTTTTGGCACCCCTGTGGGGCTCAGGAGCCCAGTTATGGCAGCTCCTCGCCTCTTTTCAAGCACACGCCTCAGCCACTTCTCTTCCCTCACCTTGAGAGTCCTCCAGGCAGCAGCCGCCACTGCCCATGGTCTTTGAGCAGCCGCCCCCAAGAGAAGTGCCTTGTCACATTGCCCCAGAGGGGCCTGGGCAGATGATGCCCCCAGCCTTAGCCGCCTGATGGGGATTGGCCAAAGGTGAATGTGAGGCCATCTTACTCACCTTGGGAGGCAGCAGGCCTCACTGGGCCTGCATGGCGGGAAGGCTCCCCTTCAGCACCGGACTCTCAGCTCCTAGGCAGGCCTTGCGCACAGGAAGCACAAGAAAGGCCAGCACAGTTCCCAACCTCCCATTTGTCTGTCCATTCCCAGCAGCAAGGGCTGGTGGACTGGCTGTCAGGGCTCCCTCGCCCACTTGCTTGCTTACTCCAAAGCTGCCTCAGCTCCTGGCAACCAGCACCCCCCGGCCAGCCCCAGAGGCACCATTCACCTGGGGAGCTTATAGCAAGGGCTGCTGCAACAAACAGCTGTGCAAGCCTTTGGGAGGCAGAGATGCAAGAGGGCATCAGAGGAGGGAGGGGAGGAAAGAGGGACTGAGGCCAGTGTTGCCCAGGGCACTCCTGACCACCATTCATGGCACCCCAGGGTGCCACGGCGCACTGGTTGAAAACCACTGCTGTAAGCCAAACAATGGTTTACTGAGACCATGTGAAGGTAGGAGATCCCAGAGAAGAGTCCACAGCCAGTTTGTTCTTCCTTAAGGTCCTTTTTGGGACGCGGGTGGCACTGTGGGTTAAACCACAGAGCCTAGGACTTGCCGATCAGAAGGTTGGCGGTTCGAATCCCCGCGACGGGGTGAGCTCCTGTTGCTCGGTCCCTGCTCCTGCCAATTTAGCAGTTCAAAAGCACATCAAAGCGCAAGTAGATAAATAGGCACCGCTCCGGCGGGAAGGTAAACGGCGTTTCTGTGCGCTGCTCTGGTTCGCCAGAAGTGGCTTAGTCATGCTGGCCACATGACCCGGAAGCTGTCTGCGGACAAACGCCGGCTCCCTCAGCCAATAAAGCGAGATGAGCACCGCAACCCCAGAGTCGGTCACGACTGGACCTAAAGGGGTCCCTTTACCTTTACTAAGGTCCTTTTTGCTGCCGTGCTGAGCTAAGGTGGCTTAGCAAATGAGTCACTGACATTTGATGGCAAATATTTTCAGGGCGGCTTATAAGCAGGAAAATAGCAAAAATTTAAATGGCAAGTAAAAGTGGCCCACCCACCCACCCCCGCCACCTAAATTCAGACATCTTGAGAAACCAGGAATGAATGAATTTTATTATTTTGGTCACAGACCAGTTCCAGCCCACATACAATATCAAGGAAGTCATAAAACACGATAGGGATACATTTGAATTTGCAGTTAGGTATAACAGGGACAATACATATATAGCAACAGTTTAAAAATATATAAATTAAAACTTAGTCACTAACATATAACCTAAGGCCTTAATCATTACGATTGCACAGCTTGTTCCCTAAGTTTTATGGCAAACGCACAGAATTTGGTTACCCTTAATGTGATCTCAGGATCCTTGTTCGGATTCATTTGGAGATTTTTGCATAGCAGGGGTAATAAATACTGAGCGTATATCCTCGCAGAAAGGGCAGTGTAGCAAGGCATGAGAGACAGAAAGAAACCAGAAAGAACTTTGTCCAGCACAAAAATTATAACCGATACATTTATGTATGTGTGTGTGTGTGTCTCTGATACTTCTACCTAGCTCTTCAGTTCAAATGAATACTCAACAAGGCTTAGAAAAGAAACACAAATCCAATATGCAATATTAAAACCTCAAATATAGTGACTGAAAGTAGCGTTTGTTAACTGCAGCACCAAAACAGATGTTAAATATATTTATAAATCTGTGCAAGGAGGGTTCAGCTTGTAGTCTGTTCACCCGACACAGTTAATTTTTGATCAGTTTTTGTTATTTCTTGCACCTGTTGGTGTGCTTCATGTTGCATCTTCAGTCTCTTGGTCGGGTGTGCACTTCAGCAATTGCAGAATGCTTTTAAGTTTCTCTAGCCACATCCTTCAGAATTTATCAGCTCTTCTGTCTAAGGACTTACCCCCAATTTTGCTTCGGGTGAAATTTGAGCAGCAGCTCTCAGTATGAACCAGGCAGAGGGCCTTCTCCATAGTGGCGCCTGCCCTGTGGAACACCCTCCCATCAGATGTCAAGGAAATAAACAACTATCTGACTTTTAGAAATCATCTGAAGGCAGCCCTGTTTAGGGAAGTTTTTAATGTCTGGTGTTTTATTGTTCTTTTAATTCTGTTGGGAGCCGCCCAGAGTGGCTGGGGAAGACAGATGGGTGGGTATAAATAGTATTATTATTATTATCATGATGGTGATGAACCAGTCAAACCTCCCCAGGGTGAATATTCTGCATCTGGGGTGCTATCACCCCATCCTATGCCCTTTTAAAATGTGGGGCTTTTTCGAGTGGGGGTGTTATGGGGTTGTTGTTTTGTTATTCTGATGATGTATTTTGTGGTTTTATATTTTGATTTATTCTGTGAACCTCCCTGAGACCTCCAGGTATAGGGCAGTATACAAATTCAATAGTAATAAAATTCAAATAATAACAAATTCAAATAATAATAACATAATAGTAATACCACTGAGAAGGCTCTCTTCCTAATTGCCACGTGCCTCACATCAGATGGCTTGGGGCAGCCAGAGGAGGAACTCTGAAGATAAGCCTGAGTGTACAGGTTGAGAAAGGGCATATCCTTCAGAGATCTAGGTACCAAGCCATTTTAGGCAGGCCCCAGCACTTCGAATTAGGCCCAGAAGTCTAACTAAAACTTGTGAAGAAAAGCGTTCTTGGGAGTCAGCACAAACTCTTCATCAAAAGCACCGCTCTGCTCAACTGACTGCTGTGTTTTTTTTGAAGTGTGCGGGTTTGGAGTTCCAAGGAAACAAGCAGCTTTGCAAAATATTTTTTATTTTATTTTTTTAAAAGTTCCAGCACTGCGTAAGCCGGGAGAAAGCTGTACATCAGAGAGGAAAATAATCGCAAGGCTCCAAATGAGTCGTTAAAAAAAAAAAAAAATCTCTAAAGGATGGTGACAATTACTGAATTTCATATTGGCATTTTTATATTTGACAAGGTGACATTGTGGATGAAATGTATATTGTAAAACACTGCTGAGCTGTAAGAAAATGATTGAATGTAAATATTTCAAGATGTGGACTGCTGTTCAAATGTTATCATAAATCTCTGCCATTGTTTTAGGGGATAATTCTTCATGCATATTTGAGTTGAATGGATAGGTCCAGCCCCTGGTAGGGTAATCTTCTGCTTGTTATTGCCTTAGTGCTGCTAATGGTTTAATTTTCAGCCGTAGACTCTCTTTTTTCTAAAGTATTCTCTGCTTCCTTTTATCATAGATGTAGAATTTTGGGGCATAATCGCCATGCTCTCGGTTTTGTCGCAGAGTGGTGCTTTGCTGACTTTTAAAGACATGGGCATGTCCTGTTCTAGTGTGGGCACAGCTTCTAAGTATGGAGGAGCTGGTATCACTATCATTTTAGTTGTACCCCATCCATCTGACTGGGTTCGCCCAGCCACTCTTGGGCGCTTCCAACAGATATAAAAATATAATCAGAACATCAGACATTAAAAACTTCCTGATACAGGACTACCTTCAGATGTCTTCTAAAAGTTGTATAGCTATTTATCTCCTTGACATCTGATGGAAGGGCATTCCACAGACAAATTTTATGCTGGATGATGGAGGGGTGATTGGGATGGTCAGCACTCTTATGCTTCAGCTGTTTACTGTTAAAATAAGCTACAGAGGTCTTGACGTTGAGGAAAGAAGGGTCAAGAAATTAGGATTTACCACGAGTGTGTTGCCAGGGCCATAATAATAATTTATTATTTATACCCCGCCCATCTGGCTGGGTTTCCCCAGTCACTCTGGGCGGCTTCCAACAAAACACTAAAATACAATAACCTATTGGATAGTGTTCTCGAAGCTACCAGCATGAGTTTGACCAAACTGTGGGAGACAGTAGAAGACAGAAGTGCCTGGCATGCTCTGGTCCATGGGGTCACGAAGAGTCGGACATGACTAAACAACTAAACAACAACATTAAACATTAAAAGCTTCCCTAAACAGGGCTGCCTTTAGATGTCTTCTAAAAGTTTGGTAGTTATTTTTCTCTTTGACATCTGGTGGGAGGGCGTTCCACAGGGCGGGTGCCACTACCAAGAAGGCCCTCTGTCTGGTTCCCTGTAACTTCACTTCTTGCAGTGAGGGAACCGCCAAAAGGCCCTCGAAGATGGATCTGGTGTCCGGGCTGAACAACGGGTGGAGATGCTCCCTCAGATATACAGGGCCTAAGCCATTGAGGGCTTTCTCCTGCACCATTCTCCTGCCTCAGAGCCTTTCCAGTCTGATATTTCCATGGGAGGTTCCCTAGGCTGTTGCCTCCCCACATTCCTCCTCATCTAGCCAGTCCTTGGCAAGAATCTGTATTGGAATTCTTTTGATGACGATATTGTTTTATCGCTTGTTGTACGTTGGCCAGGAATCTATTGGGAAGATGGGCAGGATATACATTTAAGTAATTATTATTTATGGGACTTACTAGTCCCTTCTTTAAACGAAACCCCTTTTTTAAATGAAATGTAAACTCAGCACAACTTACAATAGTTAGATAAATAGCCCAGCAATGCCTGGAAAGACCACAGATTCCTCATCTCTCTTCTCATTCCATTCTCCCTTCCTTCTCAGAGTCCCTCTTACTTTTCCTAACTCCATAAACGTGTCTGTCTTCTGAGCCACCTTCGTCAGAGCTATGAGTTGTTTGCACATAACAAATTGTCTGTTTAATTACCTTTAACTTTCAAGCCACAGGTTTCTTCTAGGAGGCCTATAGAACCATGTTTTGTTGATCTTGCCTCTGTCGAAAAGCTATGCCAGGGTAAATGGGATTGTAGACAGTTGCTTCTTGTATAAATAAGTGAAACGGTAAGAATTGGGGTGTTGGTTGACTCCCTATTTCCTTTAACCCTCTTTAAACGCCTCGCATTTTGGCTTCCCGCAGATTCGGAAGGTTTACCGTCGCCGTGCTTCAGTCCAAGCTAGAACAGTGCGAGCGCGAAACCAACCGCCTGAAGAAAGCTTTGGAGAGAAGCGACGTTTACATCGAAGACCTGGAAGCTCAGGTCACACGGCTGAAGAGGGAAGGCAGCCAACGGAAAAGCACAAGCCCGGAAAGCGATGTCGCGGATCCCATGGAGGACAAAGAGAGTGGCCGAAGCGCAGCCAGCGAGATAGCGCTGCTGGAGAGCCCAGAAGAGCCCATAGACCCGAGCTGCTTGTGCGCTAGCCACAGCCCGGATGACCTCGAGCAGCCGGCGGGTAGTGGGCTGTTAGAGAGCAGCAATGACGTGTGCCTAAATTCAGCCGGCCGGGGCTGTTCGGACGAGCCCGTTGCCCAGTGCTCGTCCGGCACGGACGTTTTCGCCGGCTCTCAGGAGGGCCTCTTGGATATAGGGGGCTCCGAAATGGACACCTGCTCGGAGCAAACATGGGATAAAATAGAAGACTGTGTGCCGTACAAAGAAGAGCTTTATGAACTCCCGGATCCCTGCACGCCTCTGTCTCTCAGTTGCCTGCAGCTGAACACTCCTGGCAACAAAGACGACCCCGCCACAAAAGAGGAGGATCCCAGAACGACACCCACCTTTCTGAGAAAACTGGAGTTTGAGGATTTCGGTGAGGCGTCGGATGACGGGAACAAAGGCTCTCCGGAACATAGCGCCAGCAGTTGCGAGGGCGGCGAGACCAAGGTGGCCTGTTTTGCTTCGGACAAGCCGGTGTTTTGGAACAGGTGCCAGCCACGCTATGATGAAAACTTTGAGGGCGCCGAGCCCAGCGCGGCCCCTGGCGACTCTGGCGAGCCTTCGGCGAAATCCAGCGACAAAACGCACAACCCGAGCGTCCCGAAAAAGCTGCATCCTGTCCGCTCTTCTGAAATGAATCGAACCAGGACGTCCAGCGAGGCGTCTATGGATGCCGCCTACCTTGATAAAATCTCCGAGCTGGATTCGATGATGTCCGAGTCGGACAATAGCAAGAGCCCCTATTACACTTCCAAGTCGTCTTCTGACCTGGATAACTCTTGCAAGTCCACGCAGTGTCCTGACCTCCTCAATGAAAAGGATAAGACTGTCAAGGAGAGGAAGGAGCAAAATGCTCTGAAATGTCCTCTTGCAGGTGATAATTCGGAAGAGGGGAGCGACTGGAAATCTGCCACCTTTTCCATCCTTTCTCCATCTGCCTTAGAGACGACAGAGCCATTCCCGTTATTTGCCAGCAGGACTTCAGAAAGGAGTGAAACGAAACCTCGGAGTTTCCTATTCCAAAGAGAGCTTTCCCCAAGCTTTCTGTTTAGCAACTCTCAAGGGTCATTTGAAGAGCACAAACTTGGGTCCCCTCTCTATAAGGTGGCACCCGAGCTGCAGACCCTCCAGAACCAACTCCAGTCTCCTTGGTCGTCATGCTTCATACCCGACAGAAAAGCCAAAAGTATCCACGCATCGGCGAAAAGGAAAATCCAGAGTAGCCTGTCCAGCGCGAGTCCCTCAAAAACGACCAAGAACTGATTCCCCTCTTGACTTTCAGTGGGTTTTTTTGTTTTGTTTTCCTAAACACAATACTTTAGTGCCAATGTGAAAATGTTCGTTCCTTCACCATCCCTTGCAAATTCCTTTTGGGTTCTCCAGTGACCTCAGTCTGTCCTACTTTGACACTGAGCGACGGAGTGTGGAAAACCTTTGGTGCAGGGGTGAGGATCCTGTGGCCTTCCCAGATTCATCCAGACTGCAATTCCCACCATTCCTGACAATCTGCTGGTCTGGTGGGAGTCTGGCAACATCTGTAGACCTGCAGGTTCTTTTCCCCTCTGCTTTGGAGTACATTTTCTTGAAGAATAAATCTTCGTAACGTTTATCTCTTGATAGATGTCTTCAGGTTTAGACACCTCGGGGTTTGTTTTTGCTTCTTTAGCGTTGGGTTATAGGAGGTCTCTATCCTGTGAGGAGCTGTTAAATGCCCAGTTACTGAGCCTTGACAGATCTTCAAAGCAGTTTCTCGTGGAGACAAATCATGTTATGGGTTTGACACCAGTGGGGTGGCTGCGTTGCTTCTCGTTTTCTTCTGCAAAAATGTGACAGGAGCTATCATCACAAAGCCCAGCTTCTCTCCGAACCTGGCTTCCACCGCAAAACATTTGCTTACTCGCACCTGCATGAGTCTTTGCTGAATCTGTAGCTTTGAATATGTAGCTGTTAGTCTCTTTCTTTGGCAGTTTTCATTTGGAAAAATAATGTTGTTTTGCTGAAGACACAGAACCCAGTCCTTTTTGCTTCTTTGCTCTCCTTTTTTTTAAATTAAACACTGCTTTCAACTTTCCAAAATGAGAAAGTGCCACTGTTGTACAAGACCGTGTTGTTTTGTGACTGTGTAGTTCATAAAAATGGGTTGATATGCTAATGCCTTGTTTACCAAATGTGCACTGAGCATTTTACATGAATACTGTACTGTTTTACATTAATACTGCATGCTTTTTTTCTATGTGGAATGAATAAAAAAAAATGTCACAAGCGCCGCATTTCCTTGATGCTGCTTCAGATACTGAATTAGCATACAAAGAATTGGAGACTTTGGTAATTAGAAATCCTACTCGGAATGTTCATTAAGTCGTTCCCTGTGATAGCAGCGCGTACCAGTTTTGTCAATGTGGTATCGAATAATGTAGCTGGTATCTTTTGATTTCCATCCTGCATTAATGTTTGGTTTCAAATTCGCTTGTATTCTACTCTTGCCTTCAAAGAGCTCCGGGTAGCATAATGTTCAAGGGCTATTGCTGTTTATTTGTGGATGGGGTTTTTTTGCATCCCAACTCCTGTCAACGAGGGTCAAGCAAGAGGAACTGGCCTGAACTACACATTACGGCATAATCAACCCCTCGTAATTAGTACAGCTGAGAATGTGTGATGCATCACAAAAGTGTTTTTTTTCTTATTCTGTGGTCTATTTTACTGGCTTGCGGCACTGGGGGAAATAGGGGGAACAACCTCCCAAGAAGAGCTGAATCAATCAATTTCGCTTCCTCTTGCATTCTCCAACCTTGATTTCAGTTCTCCCCATTTCTGCAACGGTTTACCACTGATGGGAGGAATCCTCGTGAAAATTCATCGGCATCTTAGCATGGACCTTTTCCAAAGATGCGTTTATACCTGCCAGGCACATTTATTTATTTATTTATTTATTGCAAGAAAATTCTCCAGATAGAATTCATTTTTTCCACTATTACATACAGATTTGTCTTTTTTGTAATTTGGTTGGAGAACTGCCCAAAATTCAAACAACTGCAAATTTTGACAGATAATGTTGTTTTGCTTTCCATGCCGTTCCAGGAAGTGAACAACTTGTGGAATAATTTTTTCAGGGAGCTGCGCCTAGCGCCATCATTATTCAATTTTAGGTGCAGCGCAAAGAATTTCCCTTCCCCGCCCCCAGCTTTGACCCTTAATAGGAAGGGTATTGTGGCCTCTTTTAGTGGGGCACGACTTGTATTCCTTTCTTTAAGTTCAAATGTGTTTTTAGTCTTTTATTTGAATTGTGTATCTATGTTTTTATTGTTCTGAATTGGTTTTCTGGCAGGTTGCTTTGAGTTACCTTGTAAGCAAAGCGACTAACCAATGCAGTAAAGGTAAAGGTAAAGGGACCCCTGACCATTAGGTCCAGTTGTGACTAACTCTGGGGTTGCGGCGCTCATCTCGCTTTATTGGCCGAGGGAGCCGGCGTACAGGTTCCGGGTCATGTGGCCAGCATGACTAAACTGCTTCTGGCGAACCAGAGCAGCACACGGAAATGCTGTTTACCTTCCCGCCGGAGCAGTACCTGTTTATCTACTTGCACTTTGTGCTTTCAAACTGCTAGGTTGGCAGGAGCAGGGACCGAGCAACAGGAGCTCCTCCCGTCGCGGGGATTCGAACTGCCGACCTTCTGATCGGCAAGTCCTAGGCTCTGTGGTTTAGACCACAGCGCCACCCGCGTCCTTAACCAATGCAGTAGATAACTATAATTATTATGCAGGTTTGCATTTAAAAGCCGGACCAAGACGAGTTTCTCCCACATCGCTACAGCTGACCCATATCCCTGTAACATGTAATTTGGGGCTGAGTTTTGAGGCTGATCTATGGGTTTCAACCCAGCTATCATCAATCAAAGGGATTGTTTGGTCCAGCCTTACTATAGAACCTATCAATGGCTCTTCAGTGGGATCAGTACTGTAGTGTTTTGCTCCCTTCCACCCCACCCTTCCAGGCTCCTTTCCTTGTGCTTAGAAGGTACAAACTTCTTCCAAGAACTCTGTCAGAGTAAGTACTGTAAGAGCTAATTCAACATTGGTCTTCAGCTTTAAGTGCACAGATCACGGAAACGGAAAAGGATGAACAGCATATGGAAGAATAGTCCTCATCAATGAAAAGCCAGGCAGGAATAATGTATGTACAATCCAACTGCCCACCAGGAATGTATTACTTGTCAGCAAGCCGTTTGCCTGATGAGCAAAACAAAAAATAATCCAGTGTTCTTGAACCTTGTGTTCCCAGATGTTGTTGGACTACAACTCCCATCATCCCTTGTCAACTAAACCCAATGACTAAGGTTGTTTTATTGTGTGTTTTCCATTGTGGAGGTTCATATTTTAATGGTTTTTTTAATTGTAGTTTAATGTTTTTGGTTTTTATACTTGTAAAATGCTTGGAAGCAGTGTTAGAAATTCAGATATGTAAGCTAGTTGCCAAACGGCTCCTAAACCAAGGTTACAGTCACCAAAATGGAATGTCTAGTTGCCATTTGGGGGCAAGGTAGCTCTAAAGTCTTTTCAAGTGATGGGCTGTCTGTGATTGATTCTCAGTTAAACCTCTGGCTAGTTCAGATGACAACCTTGAGCTAGGTTAAGAGCTTTGAGGACTTAAAGAAGAAAAGTCACTTGATCCAGGGACAGTCGACATGTACAGTATTTTTTGCTCTATAAGACGCACCAGACCACAAGACGCACCTAGTTTTTGGAGGAGGAAAACAAGAAAAAAAATATTCTGAATCCCAGAAGCCAGAAAAGCAAGAGGGATTGCTGCGCAGTGAAAGCAGCAATCCCTCTTGCTGTTCTGGCTTCTGGGATAGCTGCGTGGCCTGCATTCGCTCCATAAGACGCACACACATTTCCCCATTACTTTTTAGGAGGGAAAAAGTGAGCCTTATAGAGCAAAAAATACAGTATATTGGCCTATTCCGACCTCTTAATGGCTCCTGTTCCTGCTCAGACTGCACAGAAAAAGCATTTTGGTTCTTAAAATTCATTCTGATTGTGCAGATTAAAAAGTAACATAGAATTCTACAGGATGGGGTATTAATTTGTCAAAACAGTCCAGATCCAAAGATCCCCAGGTGGTGAATATGTCGGGCACCATCCTGGTACCCAGGCATCTTCACTTGGTTACAAGTGGTTGAAAGCCAGGTGCAAAATGCACTGGGCACCTGGCTAATTTCAAACACTGCTTAGAAACCTGTTTTTGTGCTCAGTGGCCTATAAATGAATGACAGGGAAAGAAGCTGAGCGCATGGCCGCCCTGCACTGTGGACAGCCAGGGGTCAGTTGCATGATCATGATCCAGAGCTCAGTTTTGTAGGTCAATGTTACTTTTTGAGGGCAATTTCTGCTGCCTCTTGTGACCCAACAGAATTGCAGTCATATATAGAAGGGATGTCCAACAGGTTGATCGCGCGATCTTCTGGTCAATCCCAGGGAGGTTTTGGTAGATCGCGGTTGATCGCTGGCTCCTCCCGCCCTCTAGATCGCTATACCGGAAGAAAGAGCTCTTGCTGAGAGGCTGACTGTTGCATTAGCGATCTCTTGGTGAGTGACTTTTTTTACTTATTCCTCCCCCCCGAAAAAGGGTTTGTCCTCCCTAGAAAAAGCTCAACAACTTTGACCTGAATCTCAAAAAGGGGGTAGATCACTGCCAGTATTTAATTGTGTGAGTAGATTTCAGTCTCTTGGAAGCTGGCCGTTCCTGATACATAGGTTCTCAAACTACTGCGCCAAATCAGAGCTCCAGTGAAATGTTGTGAGAGCTTTTCTTGGACCCTGCAATTTTAAATGGAGCGTGTTTTTTGGAGCACAGGCGAAAGGAAGCAACATTTTGTCCAGTTAGCCCAGTTCTGTATAGTCTGCCTGGCATTAGCTCAAGAATGTCAAGAAAGGCTCCTAATTAATTCTGAGGCCTGCGCCTAGGCAGTCTTGCATCCACACCATAGGCCCTGCCCCTGCACTACAGCCCTTCTGCAAACAGAAGGCAATAGCAGCAAATGCATCTCTGAACTTGTAACCCAGGTGTGCAAAGGGTTACACAAAAGGAAATGGCCGCATTAACATAACCTCTTTAAATTCAGATCTTTCTTTTCTTTTGCATGACCCACTCAAGGGCACAGTGAATGCTTCGTGTTCATTTCTGTGCACATTGTTTAAATATTTAATGAGGTGCGGCCTGCACACAAACTGATGTGTATCAAAATAGTTACGACACAGGCAAGGGGCTACACAAACAAAAACTAGTCTGTATAAACATCATTGCCCTATTTTGCATCTGGAGATTTTATTCCAAACAGCCACATCTGGTACGAATGGGCGGCTACTAGAGTGTATAATAGCCTAATCTGTCTGGATTTTGCAGAAGTCTTTGCTGTCGTTGCACCTCAACATTAGCAAGCCGCACATGTAAAATACAATTGCAGCGTTGACTTGTTGGGTCCTCCTTGTTCCCAGCAGGGAATTAGAAGTAGGCATGTGTCAGAAAACTAAGGTCTCTTTCAGGTTTCCTTCAGGATTACCCAAGAGCCAAAAAAACCCCCAGTACTTTTGGTCTGTCCAAGGCTTTGTGTACTTATTGGAGTGTACTTTTTCTCAATGAACGGCAGAAGCCCTCTCTCACGCAATACTGCAAGCAACTTTTCAGTGACTCATAGGAAGCTGCCTTGAACTGAGTCAGACCATTGTTCCATCTACCTCGAGATCGTCTCCTAAACTGACTGGGAATGGTTCTCTGAGCTTTCTGACAGGAGCCTACCTGGAGATGGGCAATAAACCTGGGAACCTGCAAACCCACACTAAAAAACCATTGTGTCAAAAAAAAACACCCCTCTCTGCCAGGCATTAGCATCCTAGTAGAAATTTTTAGGGACACGGGTGGCGCTGTGGTCTAAACCACAGAGCCTAGGGCTTGCTGATCGGAAGGTCGGCAGTTCGAATCCCCATGACGGGGGTGAGCTTCCATTGTTCGGTCCCAGCTCCAGCCCACCTAGCAGTTCAAAAGCACGTCAAGTGCAAGTAGATAAATAGGTACCACTCCAGCGGGAAGGTAAACGCCGTTTCCGTGTGCTGCTCTGGTTCGCCAGAAGCGGCTTAGTCATGCTGGCCACATGAGCCGGAAGCTGTCTGCGGACAAACACCAGCTCCCTCGGCTGATAGAGCGAGATGAGCGCGCAACCCGAGTCGCCCGTGACTGGACCTAATGGTCAGGGGTACCTTTACCTTTACCTTTTCAAAATTTTTAGTGAATCAAAGAAGTCACCTGCTCCACATAATTTCTTTATTATTTGAGCAGTGGCGTAGCATGGGTTGCCACTGCCCAGGGCTAGGTGGAGGGGGTGGGTTGGAGGGAAGTGATTGCACATGCACATTCAACCCAGAATATTGCAGCCGCAGAGATAAGAAGAGTCGTTCCATTATCTGGAGAGTTCGCTTCCTGATTTGCATGGAGAAACTGCTTTCAATGGAGCCCAACGATGGAATCGCCATAAGCCCATTCCCCACCCACCATAGACAAATTCATAGAGGAGAAGGCTATAATGGGTGCTGAACATGGTGGATACATTCCACATCCTGTGTCTCTGTATCAGTTACTGGGACTCACAAGTGAGGAAAGTGCTGTTCCATTCATGACTTGCTTGCAGGCTTCCCTTAAGTATCTGGTTGGCCACTGAGAGGACAGGGTGCTAGACTAGATGCACCTTTGGCCTGAGCCTGGGGTGTTCCTCTTACATTTTTGTTGTTATCTTTAATCATGGCTTGTTCTTTCTTCTATTGTGCTTTTCAGGCAAATACTGTCTTCTCAAAGCAACTCAAATCAATAATTTCCAAAATGACATATAGACCCTGCCCTCAGGCTTATAAAATACGAAGACATGGTGGGGAGGAGAGAGAGCATACAAAGGAAGTGCGTAAAAGTAGAGAGATCTGCTTGATAATGCCAAACACAAATTGGTGGGACGTGGGTGGCGCTGTGGGTTAAACCACAGCCTAGGGCTTGCCGATCAGAAGGTCGACGGTTCAAATCCCCGGACGTGGGTGGCACCGTGGGTTAAACCACAGAGCCTAGGACTTGCCGATCAGAAGGTTGGCAGTTCGAATCCCCGTGACGGGGTGAGCTCCCGTTGCTCAGTCCCAGCTCCTGCCAACCTAGCAGTTCGAAAGCACATCAAAGCGCAAGTAGATAAATAGGCACCGCTCCGGCGGGAAGGTAAACAGCGTTTCTGTGCGCTGCTCTGGTTCGCCAGAAGTGGCTTAGTCATGCTGGCCACATGACCCAGAAGCTGTCTGCGGACAAACGCCGGCTCCCTCAGCCAATAAAGCGAGATGAGCACCGCAACCCCAGAGTCGGTCACGACTGGACCTAAAGGGGTCCCTTTACCTTTACTAAGGTCCTTCTTGCTGCCGTGCTGAGCTAAGGTGGCTTAGTCATGCTGGCCACATGACCCGGAAGCTGTCTGCGGACAAACGCCGGCTCCCTCAGCCAATAAAGCGAGATGAGCACCGCAACCCCAGAGTCAGTCACGACTGGACTTAATGGTCAGGGGTCCCTTTACCTAAAGAGGCATTGATAGCCAGCTGGGGGCTAGCCAGTCTTCCTTTGCTGGTAGTCTTGCTTGCATAGAAGCACTCCACCTGACCTAACAGCCAGCAGATTGGCCGACTTTAACAGATGCCTGGAAAGTTTAAGAACATTTGCCTCTCCAGATGTTGTAGGCTTTCAGCCCCCAGGCTTGCTGGGTTGGTAGAAGTTGCCTTACAGATGTTGCTGGACTACAATTCCCAGCAATCCCAGCAAGCATGATCAGTAGCCAAGCATGATGGGGGGCTGTAGTCCAACATCATCCAGAGGTCTCCCACAGGTGGTTTAAACCTTGTCTTTCCCCATCTAATACCTGTTTTAATGCAGGGATGTGGAATCTATTCCCATCAACCCCAGCCAGCATCATCCAACTGTTAAGAATCATGGGAGTTGGAGTCCAAGACACCTGAAGGACCACAGGTTCTCCATAGCCCCTCTCATGACCGCAACAATTCCTTCTTGTGTGGAAGCATAAGGAGTGGGAAGGGGGAGAAGGCTAGGTGAAGGTGTCAGAAGCTGAAGAGGTAACAGGGCTTAGTGAGCAGGAAGAGTCTGTGGCAGAGAGGAGCCCAGAATCGGGGGGCAGAAGCTGAAGCAAGAGAGGAGGAAGGCCAAGAGGTACAGATGAGTCCCGCTGGCAAAGAGGCACAGTCATCTCACCCTCGTGCTGCAACAAGCTCCCCTCCCCTCTGGTCTCC